TGACCTTGCATACCCTCTCAGCATTCTCGCACGCTATGTTGCTCCTGGGAGACACCGACCAGAGCACATGGCTGCAGCGAAGAGGGTGTTGCGCTACTTGTGCAGTACGTCGGGCATGGGGCTAGTGCTTGGAGGGCGCAGTCCAGTGGTCCTCACTGGGCACGCGGACGCTTCTTGGGCTGACGACCAGGCTACGCAGCGGTCGTCACAGGGTTACACCTTCGGCCTTGGTTCCGGCTCTGTCTCGTGGTGGGCTACTCGCTCGTCTTCTGTTCTCGGCTCCAGTTGTGAGGTTGAGATCTACGCCAGGGCTATGGCTGCTCAGGAGCTTCGCTGGCTCACCTACCTGCTGACCGACCTTGGAGAGCCGCCTCGTTCTCCTCCAGTCCTGTACGTAGACAACAAGGCCATGCTGGCCTTGTGTCGAGAGCAGCGACTGGAGCACAGGACAAAGCACATTGCTCTCCGCTACTTTCTTGCTCGTGAGCTGCAGCAGCGTGGACAGTTGCGACTTGCGTACGTGGCCTCTGAGGCCAACACTGCTGATGTCTTCACCAAGGCACTTGCGCCTTGTGATCATCAGCGTTGCTGCACGCAGCTGGGTCTTGTGCCTGTCTTGCCTCACTTGCTCACTTCTTGACCTTGCTTGTACCTTGACCTATATATACTCTTGCTCTTGCTTGTTTGACTCTTGTATATCTCTATATATGATCTTGCATGCGAACTGGCCTTGTGGCCCTTGACCTTGCGCTCGGAATGTGTGGTGACTTTGTGATCCACCCTGAGCTTTGCTTTGCTTTGCTTGACTGGTCTTGTGACCCCTTGTTCTCCCCCACTTTGCCTATGGGGGTGTGTCAGAACATTATAGCTTACTTATATGTGTAGGCTATAGTGGGGTATCCCATAGGGGGTACAACCCAATTAGGGTTTCCTATTTGTACTCACCTCGTTCGTAGTCAATTCATTCACGATCATTCTTTCACACCCCCTATGGGATACCCCACTATAGCCTACACAAATGTATAAGCTATATAGCATTCTGACACCAGTGAGGGCCAAGACCACCGATGACAACCGTGACAAAGGCGTCTTCTGAAATCGATCCTCCACATCGAAGAAGCTTGTCGCGCAGTTCGCGGCAGCGACTGATATATGCCATGCCCTTCTCGCCTGGTTTTATTTCGATTGTTGTCAGCTGCGCCTTTAACCGGCTTTGGTTTACGCTGTCTGTTGCTTGATACAGGTTCTTCAAGTGGTTGTACGCGAGCTCCGCGGAGTTACCGTAACCTCGGTAAGTCCTTATGTTCTGTTGTTGAGTTGGGGTGATGTTCCTCAGTAGTATTGTGTACGCCATCATCGATTGATAGGTGTACTGCTGCTTCTCATACTGCGTGCCGTTTGTTGGATATGGCAGGGACCCGTCGAAGAAGCCAAGGATCTGCGCTCCTTCCATCATCAGCTCGAATTCGATCGACCAGGTAAAGAAATCCTTCCCGTCGAAAGGTTTTGTCGTTTGTAGTTTCAGAACATGCGCGAATTGCGACTGAACTTGTAGTGCGTCCAGTGCTCTTTCTTGTCCCGGTGCAGGTTGTGGTTGCGGCATGAAGCTGACGGAGCCACGCTGGGGCTCGTACGGAGCGAAGGTAGGTTGTTGATGTTGATTCCCGCGTGCGTAGGATGAGCCATCGAAACTCATGGGCGTCACGTTGTTGTTGTTGTTGCTGTTGTTTGATTGCGCAGGTACTCCTTGCTGATGCTGCTCGTAGAAGGACATGAAGGAGAAGAATTTCTCCATCATACTTGGATCGAAGCCCGCGCCTTGGTTTGCGGGTGTTTACGTAGACCCAGCTGCTGGTCTAGTTGTTGTCCCTTCCTCTGTCAGTAGGCCAGAGGCAGGAGGTGGAGTAGGGGTAGTACCGGGAGAGCCGTTGGAGGAGTTCCTCTCCTTTCTAGTAGACATGTCTTCTTGATGTATGAAGTGTTAAAGAGAAATTTTTAACTCTAACCAGCTCTCATACCATGTTGGGCTGAACGCCCTAGGATCTTTAGTAGAGTTAAAGTCTGAGTAAATGATGTAGTAGCGGAAGCGTTTGAATAAAGTCCTTGAACCACCTTGCGCTAGTATGTGAGGGCAAAGTAAGTTGATTAAAGCAAAGAGATACAGGAATATATATATGAGTACAGAGAATATGAAGAAACATAATTGTAACTGTTCTACTGTTGCGGTTCGATACAGTGCGACTCGGGCAACTGCTCAATGTCGAGTCAGTTGTGTGTCCTTGCTGTCGCGCTGCGTCAGGTCAAAAGTCGCTGACCTTTGACTTTCTCGTAACCTCCAGCGGTTACGTTAACCTCCGAGGGTTGACTCGCGGTGCTTCGATTTGAGCTGCTTCGCTTGTGTCTTGAGTTTCGACACGACAGAGGCGCTTAAGACTATTTGTTCCCAACATAAGCGAGGCGGCGAGGCTCCGATGCGGCGGCAATGTGGCATCGATGTGGCGGCGACGTGGCGGCGATGATGATGTGCTGCGGCGAGTTGGCGTTGCGGCTGTGATGTGGTTGTGAGAAGGCGAGTGGGGGATTTGGTGGCAAAGATGGTGTGAAGCAGTACTGTACGTCGCACGGCGCATGAGTGATGCAGCGCGGAGGCAGCTCTGGTGGGAAGGCAAGAGGAGGAGGCGCACTAAACCCGGCGAGACGGGATCATGTCGTATGTTGCGCTACAGGAAAACGAATCGTCGCATTGCCTGGTTTTGACGCGATGTAGTAAGGTTGTGGCCATATGATTGCGATGACGATTTCACCCAACACTTCAGGGGCAGTGAATCACCACATCGTACTAAGTCGAAATGGCGCTTCGGTTGTATTAGTAGTAAGAAGGTGGTCTCTTCTTGGGTGTCCTTGTTCTTCAGCTCAGATTTGTCAGATTGAGCGGGACATGTTTTAGTGTCTGCATTGTTGTTTGCGCTGGGGGGTAGAGTTAAGTCATGGAGCATGTGCGGTTCCCTTGGCCAAGGCTGAACGAATTTGGTTGGCCTCGCTAGAATTGATTCCTCACCTCGCACCAGCATTACAAAGTGAACCACTCTTCGCGCGCGAATCAGAAGGCTCCAAAGGGTGTACACTTTAAATGCCCCCAAAAACCACCCCTAGGAATGTGCACCCTTGCTATAATGCTCAAAACATACACCTTACAATACTCGAAACCGCCACTGCTAATACTGCACTCGTTCGATTTGGAACCGTTGCTCTAGTGAGCAGACCTGGCAGTGACGAGAGCGCAGCAGACGGTCGCGCAGTTGAGATTGCGACGCGAACAATTTACGAGCCGCAAAGTGACCACTCGCCCTGTCGGTGGGGCCGCAGGCCGAGGAGAATGGCGGTGCGGTTTCACGGCCGTCGGATCCCGGCGCCTGACATTACTCTGTTCGCAACATTTGAATTTGGGACTGACGAAGAGTAATACATAATTATTGAATACTCTGCTTTGTAAAGACCAACGTCATTCTATCTTGACGCACCCAGACGGCGTCTCCCTTTTACTCAAAACAATGGATCAGCTGAGCTGGTGAAAGAGTCATGTCATATATGTATGTTCGATTTAAAGAATATGAGTATGACATACATTCCAGTGTTATGATTTTACAAATCCATGAGAATATAATAAAATATTGGAAAAGACACATGCTCTTGGAATATAAGTGTATATTGATTCGAATATATAATTTCTCTACCATTTTTCATTATTATAATATAAATATACCAGAGCTATATATATATCAGGTACAAAAAGTTTTTAGCATTATGTGTAATAATATGTAATTCACATGTATATTTTAACAGTAAATTCAAGTATATTTTACAATCTAACGAATCATTTATTAAATATACTACATTTAGATAATATGGTACAAGAAGCCATAGAAACATTCAGCTAGCTCATAATACATATGGATTAAGAATGCAAAGAGTAAAAACATAAATTCTGAGTCAATGTAATTATGAATAAAAATAGATAAGATAATATATATATGTTTTTTTCATATGTAGTTATCCGATTTAGAATATACAAACTAGTTATATCCTTTTCTTACCATGAATGCAGAATTTTTGTATTTCCAGCATATAAATGAAATGAGAACATTATATTATATATATTTGCGTAAAATTGATAAAATAATTGATTACAATTGTTTTATACTACACGTAGACAACAAATTGCAAATCAGATAGGTTGTTTTTTTAATAATACAGTTTATTATCATGTTTATATGGAATACGCTCTTATTATACATGTAAGGTTTTTATTACTAATGAATAATTTCCTGTAAATTTTTATCAAACTAGCATTCCAGCAATTTAATCTCTATGTAGTTATAGAGAAAAAAATTGCTTCAAAATTTGCATACGTTGAATGTATGAATATATATATTGTTCTCTTAAACACCAAATAGAGCATGTAGCATTTTATGTGATCTTTGTTTAAAGTAATCGCACAGAACAGTATTAGATCGTTGATAAAACAATGTCCATGGTGAAACTGTACCCATGCACCAATTGTAGGGGTTGGAGTCGCACTGGGCAGCTGGCAGACTGGTCCATGGTTCTGAGAAATTTTGAGAAAGTATAGGCTTTGTGCAATTTCTCGACGCAAACACTTTTGGGTGGCACCCCAGTAAACACCCCAAATGCCACATCAGAGAGAGCTGCTAGCAATAGCAACAGCCCAGTGCTCATCTGACAGGCACCAATGCTCACCAACGAATTAGGAAGAGCAGCAGCTGAGGCCACAAGAGAAAACCAGCACCCAGTTAGACCGGAAGAAAGATAAAGCAAAGCTGTTGTTGGACTAATTTTCTCGACGTTATCCCTTGCAAGGTCCTTTTGTGGTGGCTATCTTTCAGACTCACCTTTTCCGGAAGAACTCACTGTAGTTATAATCGGCCGTGTGCAGCAGGGACTCAGCGCAGTTTTTTCCAGTGACGCTGTTAGCCCGAAATATGAGAGACACCGTGAAGATATGCGTTCTCAGCGTGTTGCTGGCCGTTGCGTGTGTTGCAACGGTGTCCGGCAGCAGCCCCGTTGCTCGTCGCCCGACTAAGGTTAGCCCTCTGCATGCACTACCTGCGAGGCTTCATGCCGCGTAGTCATTTACCTCCCAATCACTCTTCCTATCAAATCGTACAATCTCCCTGTGCGTATACGACGCAGTCCCCTCAGTATCCTACCCTACCGTCCCCGACGCCTCTGTTCATTTCCCCCTTCCATCGCCTCGCCCCTCCTCGTCGACAGGACATGCCACCATGCGCGGCGTGCGACAACGGCACTCTCTGCGTGCCGCTCTTCTCCTTCTGCTTCTCCTCCGCCGGCCCCTCCTGCAAAGACGGCTCCGACTTCGGCGCGCCGTGTGCCGACTACCAGGTACCACCTGCCGACTACCAGGTACCACCTGCCGACTACCAGGTACCACCTGCCGACTACTAGGTACCACCTGCCGACTACCAGGTACCACTTGCCGACTACCAGGTACCACCTGCCGACTACTAGGTACCCCCTGCAGCCAGCTGCCTGGTGGCTCTCTCTCTCTCTCTCTCTCTCTCTCTCTCTCTCTCTCTCTCTCTCTCTCTCTCTCTCTCTCTCTCTCTCTCTCTCTCTCTCTCTCTCTCTCTCTCTCTCTCTCTCTCTCTCTCTCTCTCTCTCTCTCTCTCTCTCTCACTCACGCCTGACACAACCCTTTTTCTTACGAGCCCGCGCTAGAGCCGTCCCGCACACTTGCCAGTCCCTCTACGGCGGGGAGCTCCGCAGTTGCCTTCTCAGCGTCCCACAAACAGCACGCCCCTCGCGCGAGCAAGATAACCAGCGTGAGGCGCACACTGCGCGTCCATCGAGACGATGTCGAATCATCCAGCCGGAGCACGGTCTGGGCCGCCTCTCTAAACACCCACGTCGCGGCGCCCCTCCCGCCCTCCAAACCCCGCTTCCTCCCTGCCCTGCGCGCGTTCCCGCAGTGCCCCGCGGGGTCGTCCAAGTGCGCGGACGAGCAGCAGTGCGTGCTGGACTCGGCGCGCTGCGACGGCACCAAGGACTGCCGCGACAGCTCGGACGAGGACCCCAAGGCCTGCGCTGCCTTCGACTGCTCCTCTATTGGCATGGTAGGCAACCCGCTTCGTTATAAGCATCGAAAGACCATGCTTCGTTATGGGCATGGTAGGTAACTACTCTATTGGCACCGTGACGGCAACCTCTGCAGCGCGAACTTGTGGATTCATTGTTCACTTTGGGTCACCATCACTTGTCCCTCCACTCCGTTCATATCCCACCCCCCTTCACCGCTCATTCCCTGCCATTCCCCACGGTTGCATAGCTGCATCAATCACGCCTCCGCTCACCGTGTCCTCCCGGCGCCCTCTCCCCCGTTTCGTCTCCCGCGCGACAGGAGCAGTGTCCGCTGGGGGCGGCGCAGTGCGTGGCGGGGTACCTGCTGTGCGACGGCAAGCCGTCGTGCCCCAACGCCACGGACGAGCACCCCGCCTTCTGCGCCCAGTACCAGTGCAGCACGGACGGCCGGGTCAGTGCTTCGCCCTCCACCCTCCCCATCCTTCATCCTTCCTTGTTGTCGCCCTCATCGAGCCTTGTCACGCCATGCCTCCACGCGCACCCCTCTCTACGCGGCCCTGAGTCTGCGAACCGCCCATAATCTCCCCTGCTCCACTTCTGCCCACAACAGCAACAGTGCCCGTCCGGCACGGGGTGCATGTTCCTCGGGCAGGCGTGCGACGGAGTGAGCGACTGCAGCGACGGCAGCGACGAGGACGAAGCTTTCTGCAAAACCTTCAACTGCAGCGACGCTGGCAAGGTGAGTCAACGCAAATGAAATGCATTCATGCTGGGAAAGTGTTTCAACGCGAGTCAACTGCATCCATGCTGAGGAATTAATCCAGTGCGAGTCAAGGCAAGTCAACTTTCGCAGCCTTCTCACCTCGCCCTCTCGCCCACCAGAGCACGTGTCCGAGCGGCGTGGGGTGCATCTTCCCCGACGCTATGTGCAACGGCCGCGCCGACTGTACTGACGGCAGCGACGAGGCGGCTGCCACCTGCAACGACTCCTTCGACTGCTCCGCCACCGGCCGGGTGAGCCGTCGCACGCCTCACAGCCTCTGCCTTGCTCCTGCTTCCCCTGCTCATGCGCCCGCCGATGCCCGCTCGCATGCCAGCGTGTGTGCACCCGCACCACCCACCTCTCTGCCGCCGGCTAACCCTGCACACTTCACCTCCCCAATCCACGTGTGACCCACTCAGGTGGCGTGCCCTCTGAAGGGTGGGTGCGTGTGGGAGTACCAGCTGTGCGACGGCATGCCCGACTGCCGCGATGGCAGCGACGAGCTCCCGCAGTTCTGCTCCAAATTCAACTGCTCCAACTCCTACCGGGTGCGCTGCCCCCCTCGCTGCCCCCCTCGCTGCCCCCCTCGCTGCTCCCCTCGCTGCTCTGATCGAGTTCCAGACCCCGCTGCAAGCACTCTGTGTTGGGTTAACTGTTGATCCCCTTTGCTCTCCCCAATCTCAGACGCAGTGTCCCGGGGGACAGCAGTGCACGTACGAGGGGCTGCTGTGCGACGGGCGGAAGGACTGCAGTGATGGCAGCGACGAGGGCGCGCTCTTCTGTAGCAGCTACAACTGCACGGACACCGACAGGGTGAGTTGCGGATCCCTGGTTTCGAATGATGATGATGACATGTGGGATGCTGCCACGTGATCAAGCAAGTGAAACATGTGAGTAGCATCTGCTGCCCATTCACACGCCTCTCCCCATCAATCACCATTTCATCCTGTCCCCTCCGCGCGACCAGGTGGTGTGTCCAACAGTGGACGGCTCAGCACCCGCGTGTGTTTCGGCCTCTCTGCTGTGCGACGGCACGCCGCACTGCCCTGGCGGCAGCGACGAGGACCGGGCCTTCTGTGCGGACCACGAGTGTGCGCCCGGCCTCATCAAGTGCCCTGGCTCGCTGCTCTGCGTGCCCGGCACGCTCTGCAACGGCTTCCCCGACTGCCGCATGCCCACCGCCCTTGACACCGCTCCTGGCCCCGACCCTGCCACCGGCTCTGATGCCGTCCCTCCACTGAAGCCTGCTGTTATGCCTCGCACCACTGCTCCCACGGCTACTCCTGGTACTGATGGTACTATGGCTGGTGTGGGAGGAGTGATGCAAGGCGGAGCTGCTGGTAACGTGGTCATGATGCTGGAGGGCGTGGCTGCTGACGAGGAGGGAGTCAGCGCTGACGAGGATCCAGTCATGTGTGTGGCGTACGAGTGCCCCGAGGGGTGGAGGAAGTGTGCAGACGGACTGCAGTGCGTATCAGAGGACGCGTGGTGCAGCGGTGTGAAGGAGTGCCACGATGGCAGCGACGAGGACGAGGAGACGTGCACGGGGTACGACTGTGCCGCCACAGGGCGCGTGCTGTGCCCCGGCGGCAAGTACTGCCTGTGGAACTACTGTGACGTGTGCAACGAGGAGCGCCAGCCGCTGTGCCCTGATGCGTCGGACCAGGCGGAGTCAGCGTGCCACCTGAAGCAGAAGTGCCCCGTGCGCTACTACAAGGACGCCCCCCTGCCCCGCCCCCTGCCGCTGCCCCAACAGGACGGCGCCGTGCACGTGGAGCCGGACAGTGATGGGGCGGATGGGGGGGATGGTGATGGGGGAGACGGAGGAGGGGAGAGTGGGGGGAAGGCGGGTGGGAGCCATCCGAAGAAGTATGCCAAGGTGAAGACGAGCACAGGGAAGAGCGCTGCTGATGGCACTGGTGCTGCTAGTGAGAATGCCAAGGGGGTTGAGGGTGGGAGAAGGCCGGGACACCATGCGGCTGGAGTGGGGCATCATAAGAGCAAAGGGCAGCACAACAAGACGCAATCCAGTGCCGACGCTGGCAGCGGAAGTGAGGAGGCCAAGGCCGGTAATGGCAAGAAGGGAGTGATTGGTACGGAAGAGGCAACAGGCAAAGGCACGGGCAGTGGCAGTGGCAAGGCAGGGAAAGAGGGTGGCGGGAGCAGCAGCAGCGGCAAGGCAGGGAAAGAGAGCAGTGGGAGCAGCAGTCCGAAGAAGCCTGGCAAGGGCGCGGCTCCCACATCAGGAGCTTCAGGGGGGAGTAAGGGGAATGGCACCAAGACGGGCAAGGGGGGAGTAGAGAGCAATGGCACGACGGGAGGGAAGGAAGGTAAGGGAGGTAAGGGAGGTAAGAATGCGGGAGACAATAGCAGCAACGGCACCACAAGCAGCGGCAAGAGCAGAAGCAAAGGCATCAAGAGCGATGGCGATAGCAGCAAGGGCAGCAGTGGTGACAGCAAGAAAGGTAAGTCAAGCAAAGGAGATGAGGTGAAGACCGACAGCAGCAAGGCAAAGGGAAGCAGCGGTAGTGGCACCATTGGCACGAGCGAAGCAAAGGCGAAAGGGAAGGCGGAGGGAAGCAAGGGGTCTTCTGCTGAAAAGGTGGCTTCGAGTGGAGGCATGCAGGCAGAGGGCAAGGGGAACAAGGGTAGCAAGGGAAGCCAGAAGAGCAAGGCGAGCAAAGAAAACAAGGGGAGCACAGGCAGTGTGACCAAAGGCAAGGAGGGTGACGGCACTGGTGTGACCAAGGGAAAGGGCTGAGGGCCACGAGGCTCTGTGGGTAGAAGTAGAGCATTAGTAGGTATAGGAAAGAACAGGTTTCCGCTTGTAGAGGGGCAGTGTCTTGCTGCGCCTATTATCCGCAGTTTCAGAATCTTGTGCGATCTTGATGTGCTTTGATTAGCAGCTTATTATAACTATTGCACGTGTACATAACACTTTGGAAAACCACAGCTAACCAGCGAATAAATAGCACAACAGAGGAGGCAGAGGAACCCCAGTGGGCCCTGATGAGCATGTACAAGCTCTGCTACCCTTTGAGGATGTGACATTCACCAGGTGCAGCCACTAAGAAACCCATCCTGGTGCGCACTAACAACAAGCAACCCCACACCCCGACCTCAAGTGCACTAACACATTCCATTACAAAAAGCAGGAAACTGTCTACATTATGGCATGTCCTGCAAAGAGTTTACAGCTTTCACACGTTGTAAGGAGGCACATTGGCCTTGCCTGCTGGCGGCACAGCGGCGTCAGCAATGGCCTTGAGCATGCCGCGCTTGTGGATGCGGATGATGTAATACCAGAACATGGCGATGTAGATGAAGGCCGCGAAATATGCCATCGCACATGCCCCACGCACCTTGCTCACATTCGCATTAGCATCATCCACGATTTGCTTAAGAAGAGTTCCGTAACTCAGTTGTGAAGTGACTGTGTTGCTCATGCTAAATGTGACCAACAGGTTCTTGATCTCATTATCACTGAGATTGCCACTCATCGCACTGTGAAAGAATGGAGATGGGTAAGCAGAAATGGACATGTGAAAAACAGAAATCCAATATGGCATGAAATTATGCAGAAATCATACGTTGCCCACTTGTGCAGAGCAGAGATGCTACATGGACATACTAGACAGTCATAGCACGTGTCTTGCGTACGTACCTGTTCAAGTCGCTGGCATTCCACCACATGTTGCACGCAGCTGCTGCGGACGTGGCGGCGGCGAACAGAAGGAGTGACATAATCTGTCAACCAGGGGAGAAGTAATGCAACCTTTTAAAAAAACGAGAAAGAAACACTGGAAAACGTTCAAAAGAGAACAAGAATGACGCACAGGCAAGTAACTTAATAGGTGCTTTTTCGTATCTCATCACAAAGCTAGCAGGAGCGCGCGACGAGTATGCGGGAGACACTGTAGATTACGATGACTCAATACAGAGTGATATCCCCGTTTTGGAAGCTCGCATAGCACTCTCAGCAGGTTTTAAAAAACTGCACTGCTCGCGCGGCTCTTGAGTATGGAGGGACTCACGTAGGTCTCAAAGAACTGCACGAGGTCCATCACGGCGTCGTACGCCTCGGAGCCCGCGACGCACATGCGCACGGCGTTGTAGATGAAGAGCATAAGCGCCAATATGAACCCCAGAATGGTGACGCCCACCAGAAACGCGCCCGCGGCGTACCCCGTCACCGCCTCCTTGGTGGCGAAGCACAGACTGCGGATGTAACAAGGATACAGGAACCAAGAAGAAAAAGGAAAGTATCTAAATACACGTATGTGTTGTGAGAGAACGCATTTATTTGCTTGTGCAGTCAGCTCGAGCTTCTGGAAACGGGAAGAGAAATCGAGCTCAGGTGTGCTGACTTCGAGCGCAAGCGAATTGACGATGAGCGACACGCATGAAGATGCGAGCGCACCTGAAAGAGACGAGGCAGAAGAGAAAGATGCCGATGCGGAGGCCGAAAGGGAACCACGTGTACAGCGGAGACCGCTTGTTATTATCGCAGCAACATCCCGGATTGTTCGGCGCTGGGGCTGGCCCTGTGGCGGCGTACTGGGGTGGTGGCGCGGTGAACTGGGGTGGTGGCGCGGTGAACTGGGGTGGTGGCGCGGCGTTGAAACTCATGCCCTGCATGTTCGGAGCCTGCTGCGCAGCCATTTCGAACTTGCGACTATTCTTAGAAATTGCGGACGGACACTGATTCCGGCTTGTTAACAGTGCGATGTCACAACAGCAACTGTTTTGGAAGAATAATAACAAAATACCGTGCTATAGTGGCGCGTTCCGCGGGAACAACTTCTCGGGAATTTCAATTGAGCTCTTGCGGAGTTCGTCAAATGCGATACTGGGAACTTGGGTGCAGAGGCGGTAGAATACGAGGACAAGAAAGGGAGGGATTGGACAGGTGCGAGGAAGGGAATGAGGCCCAGCGGATTTATCTTGAATTGTTGCTGCAGGGGAGTGGGTTTGGAGAAATGTGAGTGCACCGCGCGCTCCGTTAGGGAAGGTGTCTGCTCAATTGTGAGCGCTGACATGGCGTTCCAGCACGCTGTGGGAGTGGGCGGGGTCCAGCTCGTCCGGAGTCTTGCACGCTTCTTGGCGGAGCTGGTCAAAGTCTACGGCGTCTCTCAATATGAGTCTGGTTGGGGCATTCACGTTAGGTCAATGCTGCGTGAAGGCCATTGCCCTGCTGGTGGGGATCAACGTCGAGCACCATGCGATGGTGTAGCGACGTCAAGAAACACTTGGGACGCGGTGCAATGCAAGTGCAAATCTCGCAGGATCGTCTTCAAACATCGAGCCCCAAAACCGAGTGGGCAGATCGATTGGCGAAACGTGGCGACCGCGACGTTGTAACGATCGCCCCTTGAGAATTGACGATCTCCCGCGATCAGTGATCAGTCGCATTCGCACACTATACAGAAATTTTACAAAAAACGTACTATAACATAGTTACAGCGTCGTAAATAGGGTAACCGATCCGCACATCGATCGCGACTGACAATTGATCGTCTACTTTCTTCGATGCATAACACAACCTTTAGTGTCCATGGCAATGGCAATGACAATGCGGCCATGGCCATGGCGGAGAGCTTTAAAGCTCGCGGCCCAAATTGCGGGGCGCGCTGGCCAAGCTTACTAAGGTTGACGGGGGTGATGTTTTGAGAGCTGTTTGGGTTGCGAAGGGTGGTTACGAGAAGTGAAATGCAATCTGATTGGCCAGTTTTTTTTGTCGAATGGGAGAGCAGGGAACAACAATATGTTGATTGCAATTTGGAACTCTCGAAGCAAACCCAAGTTGCTCCCAGGGGTTTGTCGTGTCAACGAAAACCCCAAGGGTCTAGCGCGAAACTGGGCGAAAGGAAACAGCCCAACTCCCAACAAGTCAACTTCTTCTCCCACCACCCAAAGGTCAACCTTACTAAGGTTGAACAATTTGGGCCGCGAGCTTTAACTCCACCAATGTGTATCAATTTCCAGCATGAATCTTGTTTCGGCTCACCCAAGCGATGCACGGCTTTAAGCTCTACACAACGGTGTCCTTTTAGTGTTCATTACGGGAACCTAAATACACTTTTCTTGAGTTCCAGGCTGTCGCTATTGTTATGCCTAACAAGACAGGTTTCAACACATTTATCAAGGGGGAGTTTTAAGCCAGAACATGGATCCTACCGCGTTCAACAACCTTCTCTACTGTCAACCCACGTCAGGATCAATGCACAGGCTAGGCAATGCTCAAGGTTTCCCGCGGAAAGCTATGATCGAAGCTGGACGACAACTTCCATGGCGCCAACGATTTCATCAGGCCTGGACCTGCAACGTTTCTCCTTCAAGCACAGGAAATATAAGCCAACAGCAAAGTCAGCAAATGTGCTCAGATCAACTTCTTCATCAGCCTTTGCCTGGCTGCTAAGCTGTCATTATCATCATCGCACCATGGGGAAGGGACGCAACGGCAAGAGCACCAAGAAGCATGACAACAACATTGAGAACAAAGACGAGCATGATGTTCCTGACGTACCTGCGAAGGAATCTGACGGCAAGGGACGGACTCCCGCTGGCTCAACATCCACGTCTGTGCATGGTCCGTTTGAAGCTCTCCTGGACCTGCCGAGCGAAGCTGACAAGGATGGCGGATCTGGCGAGAAGGAGCCTACGGGGGAAAATGTGGTCAATGACAATGAAGAAGAGGCGCGCACGGAGGTCACTGCTGAAGAAAGTGTGGACGACGGAGATGATGCGCTGCCAGCTGACGATGAGGATGGCTACTTGAGCGATGATTCCGACGAGCATCTGGAGCCGGACTCGCTTAAGCGTTTTTCACTAACTCTACTGGTGCCGACTCTCAGGAGGGTGGAGGTTAAGCGTGCCACAATGACTGTCGCCGCGATGCTGGATGCGTGGAAGGACCTTCTTTCAGCTGATGTGCTTCAAACCACAACTTACCAAGACCTTGCGCCGATGTACCTTTCTGGCGCGCGGTGTCAGAACATATAGCTTGTGCTTATTGTGTAGGCTATAGTGGGGTAGCCCACAAGGGCTACAACCCAATTAGGGTTAGTACTTGTACTCAGTTCATTCATAGTTCATCCATTCTCGTTCAACTTCTCTCATGGTATCGAGCAGGTTCCCTTGTGGGAACTGCGCTTAGGGCCCACCACTTCGATTTTTTTTTACTGCCCGAAGCGCGCTCATCCCGAGTCGCGCCTCGGGCTGTTAACTCGACGAGCCGCCCTAGCGGCCTTCCCTCCCCTAGCGGCCCTGCCGCCCTACTGTCGCGGCCCCGCCGCCCCTGATTCGCGGCCTCGCCGCCCTGCTTTAGCGGCCCCGCCGCCCTGCTTTAGCGGCCCCGCCGCCCTACACCTAGCGGCCCCGCCGCCCTACACTTCGCGGCCCCGCCGCCCTGCTTTAGCGGCCCCACCGCCCTACACCTCGCGGCCCCGCCGCCCTACACCTCGCGGCCCCACCGCCCTGCTTTAGCGGCCCCGCCGCCCTACACCTAGCGGCCCCGCCGCCCTACACTTCGCGGCCCCGCCGCCCTGCTTTAGCGGCCCCGCCGCTCTACACCTCGCGGCCCCGCCGCCCTGCTTTAGCGGCCCCGCCGCCCTACACCTCGCGGCCCCGCCGCCCTGCTTTAGCGGCCCTGCCGCCCTACTGTCGCGGCCCCGCCGCCCCTGATTCGCGGCCTCGCCGCCCTGCTTTAGCGGCCCCGCCGCCCTGCTTTAGCGGCCCTGCCGCCCTACTGTCGCGGCCCCG